AAAGAGATTCATTTGCTTTCCGATATGGACAAGAAAAGGGCTAATGGCATCTACATTTATCCTTGTGGCATCTCCACAAGAGAAGGGTGTGTGTGTGTGTGTGTGTGTGTGGGAGGGGGGGTTCCTAAGATTTCTGCACAGGCTCTCAACCATCCACGGATGGGACAAGCTGCCAAGTCCACAAAAGGAGGGTGCATCAAAGAAGATGATGAAGAAGAAGAGATTGGATTTATACCCCACCCTTCCCTACCCAAAGGAGTCTCAGAGTGGCTTACAAACTCCTTTTCCCTTCCCCTCCCCACAACAGACACCCTGTGAGGTAGGTGGGGTTGAGAGAGCTCTGACAGAAACGGCTCTTTTTCAAGGCCAGCTCTTATCAGAACTATGGCTTGCCCAAGGTCATCCAGGGGGTGCAAGTGGAGGAGGAGGCCTTACTTTTGCTATGAAAGACAGGGTTCCTTTTAGCTTCTGGGCCATAATGATACTCTGAAGGGTGAAGACAAACTGAGCTTCGTTCGAGACCCCTGAATAAAAACAAAAAAGGAGGAGGGAACATTAGCTGGTGGTCGTGGGACTTCAGCGCTTCTGTTATCCAGCCTGGGCCAATGCTCGCCCAACGCCAGGTCCGGCTGAGATCCCGCTGAGGGTGTCTTCAAAACCCCAAGGGGTTCTAAAGCGCTGCAAAATCCACCCAGACCCTCGCTGCTGCTTCCTCCTGAGCCCCTCCCCCCCGCTTGTCCGGCGCCAGCTGATCGTTACCAGGAGGCAACTGGAAAGGAACGGGGATGCCGTCGTGTATCGAGGAGCCTTCCGGCCGCAGCATCTTGGTGTTCAGGGAGTCCAACACGTTGAGCTCCATGCTCTTGAGGAAGCTGCTGCTCTTGTTCTCGAAGATCACGGAGACGGTGACCTGGCTGTCGTGCTGGAGGTTCCCTTGGATGTCGTAGGTCTACAGAGAGGGATTTGCAAGGGAGGGAATGTCAGACACAGAAGCGGCGCTGGGATTAGTGCCAGAACTCTGCACAAGGAATGCCCCAGGATCAAGCCCTGGTCATCTCCCACTAACGTTATCTCAGACAGCAGGTTCTGGGGAAGACTCGAGGCCCTGGGAGAGCGGCTGCCAGTCACAGGAAACAAAGATTGAGCCGGAGGGACAATTCAGCTGTGCAGAAGGAGGCTGCCTATGTTCGGATGACTATAGAAGCAAAATACTTAGATCAGGGGTGTCAAACATGCATCCCGGGGGCAGAATCAGGCCCCTGAGAGGACTTCTATTAGGCCCGCGGTGGAACTGGCTGTCTTCTGCTTCTTCTTCCAGCTCAGCTGCTGCCGCATCATTGTAGGTTTGCAGCTTACAGATACACACCTGAACAGCACACTCAAGATTGCAACAGCACAGACATTTTGATGCAATCATTCAGAGCGAGAGGTGTCCGTTATCAGACACAAATAAACAACATATGGCAAGAGTGCTGATATTTTAAGCATGTTTTTATCTTGAGTAAATAAAAACCTTGGTGCTTATGTCCTTTATAAAGTTTATATCTCCACTACCTGGCATTACCTTTTATGACGCATGTGGCCCGGCCCAACAAGGTCTCATTTATGTCAGATCCGGCCCTCCTGACGAAGGAGTTTGACACCCCTGATTTAGATGCTCTGGGCTCCTCCCACCTCCCCTTTCTGCATTTTACAAAAGCAGTAATTACATGAACAGGGCGGAGCATAGTGAGTAGCAACAGGCAAGGCAAACTGTACAGCCCCAGTTAAAGCAAAGGGTACGGCACGTCTGAGCACTTTTGCTTATTTTGCAGCTGGGAAAGTCAGGCAGCCTAGGCAAAGCGTGAGCTCTCACTAGTGGGGAGATTTTGCTCTGCCTTCCCCCGTTTCTGGCTGTTGCTGACAGCCCGAGATCACCTCTGTTCCAGAAGGGCTAGACACCCGCCTCTGGCAAAATTCTGAACTTGATGCACAAACACACCGCTGTGTAAAAAGGCTTTGCCAAACATCAAATAAATCTTATTGCACCATTCAATAAATGAATGTTATATAAAAAAGATCCCAAAGTTGAGCCTGATCCAACATTGGCTTCTCTTATGTTCTTATGGATAAACATATGGAGCAGAGGTCCACCAGTGGCTATTAGCCACAAGGTATAAATAGGAACTCTCAGGCTGGGGCAAGTGATGCTCTTTATTCTTGGTGCTGGGGGGGGGCAACAGTGGGAGGGCTTCTAGTGCCCCCTGACTCCACTGCTGGACCTCTTGATGGCACCTGGTAGTTTTGGCCACTGTGTGACAGAGTGTTGGACTGGATGGGCCTTTGGCCTGATCCAACATTGGCTTCTCTTATGGAGCAGAGGTCCATCAGTGGCTCTTAGCCACAAAATATAGATAGGAACTCTCAGGCTAGGGCAAGGGATGCTCTGTACTCTTGGTGCTTGGGGGGGGGGAGCAATAGTGGGAAGGCTTCTAGCGTCCTGGCCCCACCGCTGGACCTCCTGATGGCACCTGGTATTTTTGGCCACTGTGTGGGCCATTGGCCTGATCCAACATTGGCTTCTCTTATGTTCTTATGTTCTCATTTCGGTTATAGCCTGCATCACAAGCCTTCAGGCCACTTCTTCAGGCAGCAGGTGGAAAACACCGTGAAGTTGGCACAAAACGTCTTGTACGTTTTAAAGCATGTATCATGCCATTAATGTTCAACAGCTGGACAGCTGTCCTTCAAAGTTTAATTCCTGACAAGGAAATATTTTGTGACGTTTTCCTCCTGCTGCCTGAAGAAGTGTCCTGGCTTGTGATGAAAGCTACAACCGAGACAAGGAGGAACTTCAGGTGCCTTTTCCCGTTACCAAGTTTGCTGAATCTCTAGCTGCGGAGTAGCACAGCGGAGCCAAGATTGCTGGACTTCAAGGCTAGACGTATGATGGCTGCTGAGCGGATTAGCTGCTTTTTCTATGGAGTTTTCATATTATATGGTTGGTGGATGGTCGGGTTACAACACTGTACATACATTTACTTAACTGATTAGCTGCCATTTTCAAGCAATAATAAACAAGCCCTTTTTATATAACATCACTGGATGGCGCAATAGGATTTGATTTGATGTTCGGCAAAGCCTTTTTACACAGTGGCGTTTTGTGCATTTAGCTGTTTCCCATTCTGTAAAACTCTCAACTTGGCAAACATCAAGTTCCCTGAAATGGTGCAGGACACAATCAGCACTGGCTCTGGATTCGTGTGCCTGATAGACAACTTCAGTTGTTTAGCCTTGTGAACTTGCAGGACACAATCAGCACTGGCTCTGGATTCGTGTGCCTGATAGACAACTTCAGTTGTTTAGCCTTGTGAACTTGTCTCACGCTAGCTGCCTCTGACAAGCGAGCACCCCCCTCTGCCAGGTGACTTGCTAACTGGAAGACACACAATCCAGGGGAGCAGTAGCGCAGGAGGGTAAATCCTGCATAACTATAACATCTGAACTGCCAAGCTTTGTCAGTTCTAGCCCCGTGCTGGTGTGAGCAACCAGCCTTGTCCCTAGCTCATCGTCTACCCAGCGATTCGAAAGCTTCAGCAAGTAGATCGATTGGGGGCCACCCGTAAGGGGGTGGGCACACCACTCCCCCGGGAGGTGTTAGCTGCCAGGACTGACATTTGCGGCGGGGCAAGATCAAAAGCGGGAAAAATCTGTTTCGGCATTTTTTTGTTTTGGCATTCCCAGCAGTGGAGCGAATCAGCCAGGTGGTGGCAGTGCGACATCAAGAGCCCTGACGTCATCAGCCATCCAACAGAATGTATGCCATCGGGACATGACTGATACAGCCTGCGGATGGATCCTCCGACCAGCTACAATGTGTGTGTGATTAAATATTGTATGTTGTCTTCCCTATCCCCCATGAATATTGTTAGTCCGTTGTCTCTTGAGTAACTGTAAATCGCTCTGAGCCCGTATGAGTGGGAAAGGTAAAGGTAAAGGTTCCCTTGCTTGAAAGCCAGTCGAGTCCAACTCTAGGGTCGCGGTGCTCATCTCCGTTTCAAAGCCGAAGAGCCAGCGCTGTCCGAAGACGTTTCCGTGGTCATGTGGCCGGCATGACTAAACACCAAGGTGCACGGAATGCTGTTACCTTCCCATTGAAGTGGTTCCTATTTATCTACTTGCAACTTCTTGCTTTCGAACTGCTAGGTTGGCAGGAGCTGGAACTAGAGACGGGAGCTCACTCCGTCTTGTGGCAACTCAGGTCTCGAACTGCTGAACTACTGACTTCCACAGCCTGCAGTTCAGCGTCTTAACCACTTGAGCCACCGCAGCAGAGTGGGAAAAGCGATCAATAAATTGAAAGTATTATTATTATTATTTTCATTGTGGCTAGAAAAGAATGTGCTTTGCCCTGTTCATCCCCATTTCAGTTGGGCTACTGCCATTTGGAGTATTCTCCAGCAACCTGCAACCTAAGCGCCTTCGCACTGGAGATGCCAGGGACTGCACTTGGGACCGACCAACGGACTGCAGGAACACATCCCGTTTCCTCCCAAGGCAACTGGAGAGAGGGGAGAGAAAGGAAGATACAAATCTAGCACTTACCATGGTAATGTACGCATTTTCAGCAAGAAGGCGGTAACTCGACATTGGCTGAAAAGGAGAAAAGCACAAGTGGTAAGCTTGGCGGGAAATGAAGTTCCAGACCTCAGAAACACATGGTCTACCAAGGAAACAACAGAGCTACATCTGTAAGAGATCTAGCTCCCTCTTTGAATAGATTCAACCAGGGGTAATTTCCTACAGGAGCGCACAGGAGCGGAGCTCCGGCAGGAAAGAGCCCAGGGGGCGGGCACAGGCACATGCAACAAGCCCCACCCCCTGCTCCCAGCAGCCCTCAGTCAGAGCAAGAAGCAGCCAGGTAAGTTGCAGAGCTCCCCCCCGGCCCAAAACAGTCCAGTGGCCCCTTTAAGACCAAGTTTTATTCGGGCTCCCAGCAGCCCTCAGTCAAAGCAAGAAGCAGCCAGGTAAGCTGCAGAGGCCCCCACAGCCCCTGGGTCCAAAACAGTCCAGTGGCACCTTTAAGACCAGGGTTTATTCAGGTACAAGTTCTCCCTCCTCTGTGAGGACAGATCTGCACGGCCCCCCCCCCCCATAGCTAGCAATCCGAAACAGTCCAGTGGAGCCTGAGCGGTGGGTGTTGCCTTCTGACACACTTCTGGTGATGTCAGGGTGTGTGGCATATGCAAATACGTTATGCTAATGAGTTCTGCTAATGAGCTCCCGCACCTCTTTTTCTACGGAATGACCCCTAGATTCAACAATTTAATCAAAAACCATCACATTTTCAGTGAAACAAAATGCTCACTCCACTGAATGCCGCTTCTCAGGCCCGGAGGCCACAACGACCTTTCTCTTCTCCCGCAGCCGTGCTCCGCTGAGTGGCCATCATGCCGCATCTGCAGCAAGGGAGGGGCTCGCCTGGACGCCAAAGGCCCATCAAAGAGAGACACGCGCTCCCCCCTCCCCCGACAAGCTCCTCACCGGCAGAGGCTCATCCTCCAGGGTCCCGTTCTGCACAGACTCCGGTGGCGGCAGCTCCTCTCCGTGGTGTTTCTTGGACTTCTTTTTGTCCTTGGACTTCTCCTCCTTTTTATGCTTCTTCTTCTTGTGCTTGGTGGATTTCTACTGGGCCAGCGGAACCAACGGTCAACAACGTGGAGTCTCGTCTCCAGCCCAGCTGCTAGACGCGAGGCTTGCCTCCACCGCAACAGTCCGCCATCTTCCTTCCAGAGCCACCCACTCAAGGTGGAGCATTGGCCAGCCCCCCCCATGTCATTGCCACCCTCCCAGTGCTACTGGCTGAAAGCAGCTTGATAATCAAACCAACAGCTTTGCAAGAGTCAAGGCAACGGCTGTCTCCAAAATGCCTTGTGTCTCCATCGGGGGTTACCCAAGAGGGACTCCTCTGATGGGACAAACTGGCAAACCCTGCGGCTTCGTAGTCCGGGATCACAACCGAGGCTCCCTCTAAGCCAGTGATGCGAACCTTTTAGAGACCGAGTGCCCAAACTGCGACCCAAAACCCACTTATTTATTGCAAAGTGCCAACACGGCAATTTAACCTGAATACTGAGATTTTACTTTAGAAAAAACAACCCATACATTAACTTAAGATGATCCAAACAAAGTAAGGAAAGCAATTCCAAACGCTTTCATTTACTTAAAATTATTTGGCAGAGAATTCGACACTTGAATGATGGTCTGGGCCTGGCTAGGGTGATGGCACGCGTGCCCACAGAGAGGGCTCTGAGTGCCGCCTCTGGCACCCGTGCCATAGGTTCGCCACCACTGCTCTAAGCTGTGGAGTCTTGTGAGCAAAAATTCTACTTTGTGAGCTACTGGCATTAAAGTTGTGAGCGAGCGATTTGGCTACTGCGTACATTAGTTTGCTCTGGAGCCATCCTTCCTGAGCGGAGACAAAAATGTGTGAGCTGGAGGCTAAAAAACTGTGAGCTGGCTCACACTAACTCAGTTTAGAGGGAACACTGAAACTGCCGTTTACAGGCTCACCTTTCCTTCACCTTCTTCCTCCGCCTCTTCCTCTTGCCCCTCCTTCTGGGCTTCCTCCGGTTCTCCGGGTTCTGCCGAGTCTACGCTCACCTCCGGCTTGCTCTGAAGAGGCAATTTCAAGGCAGTGTGTTTTGGAAAGAAGCACACCCCCGTGGATTGCAACACAATCCCACCCTCGCACTAGCCTGAGATCTTCAGGCTTTGGGGCAGTCCCTTCCTTGAGGGCGGGGGAAGGGCAGGACACCCCCCCTTCCCAAGACAGTGGGGCAGGCACACCGAGGAGTCAGAAAACCCTCCACAGACGCTGCTGGAAATCTAGGGCAGGACCAGTTGCACAGACCTCTTAAGGAGCCCGCTGGCCAAGGACCCCAAATGCCTCTACCCCAGAGGTCTTGCTTGAGCCGGCTATGCTGGGCCCAAACCTGTCCAGGCCAAGGCCATCCTGTAGGGGCCCCATTGCGGCGTACAATCTCAGAAACGCTGGGGTCTCGGGATGTTTCGTGGCCGCACCGACTGTGTTGACTCACCTCTACCTCCGTTGCTGCGGCAGGAGTTGGAGCGTCCGAAAGCCAGAAGTCCATGTCATCGGGCTGAAGTGAGCCATTGAAAAACAGAAGACGTTAACGGCGAGCTAAGTGCAGCTCTTTGCAAGCATTCCCATGGCTTTACGTCTGTTCTCAATACCAAGTTTCCTGCCTGAGGGTTATGTCAAAATCAGAGATAAACTCAATGGTGCCAGCCTCTCTCATTCTGCGGTGCCAGCCCCTTAGGTTCCACGAGAGTGACGGAAAGATCCGATTGCCGTTTGGCACGGCATGGACATTTTCGGAATAATGGAGTATCTGGTTTATTTAGTCACACCACTGGCGAAATAGGATTCAATTCCCCCTCCGTGCACAGGAAAATACAGCCATAATACCAGTCAACCTATTTATTTTTTATTTGGGGGGGGGGAAAGTCCTGATTTTTCAATACACTGGAGCAATGCTCCCTCTACGCTGTGGGGTCTTGTAAAGTTAAAAAAAATCTACTTTGAGAGCTACTGGCATTAAGAGTTGTGAGCGAGCGATTTGGCTGCTGCCTACTTTCGTTTGTTCTGGAGACCTCCTTCCTGAGCGAAGACATCATTATTATTATCAACATCGTCATTGGCATGGTTAATGGTTGTTGTTTGCAGTTACTCTGTATTTTAATGTATTTATTGTTTTAACGTTTTAATGTTGTTAGCCACCTTGAGCCAGCTTTGTGGCAAGGCGGGATATAAATCGAAATAATAAAATAAAAAAAATAAAAATGCGTGAGCTGGAGGCTAAAAAACTGTGAGCTAGCTCACACTAGCTCAGCTTAGAGGGAACACTGCACTGGAGCGGTGGTTCGCAACCTTTTGTATCTTGCATCTCACCAGTCGCTCTACCGGCCCTCCTCCCTTGAGGGCAACAAAAAGCCCATCCCCCCCCCCAAGAAGAACATTTATACATTTACAGGCATTCTGTTAGTTTAGGTATTATTTACAGTAAAGGCTTAAAGCTAAAGGTTCCCTTGCTCAAAAGCCAGTCAAATCCGACTCTAGGGTTGCGGTGCTCATCTCCGTTTCAAAGCCGAAGAGCCAGCGCTGTCCGAAGACGTTTCCGTGGCCGGCATGACTAAACACCAAGGCACACGGAACGCTGTTCCCTTCCCACCGACGTGGTACCTATTTATCTACTTGCAATTTCTTGCTTTCGAATGGCTAGGTTGGCAGGAGCTGGAACTAGAGACGGGAGCTCACTCCGTCATGCGGCACACTCGGGTCTCGAACTGCTGAACTACCGACCTTCCACAGCCTGCAGTTCAGCGTCTTAACAACTTGAGCCACCGCAGCTCCACAGTAAAGGCTTAAGGACACAGAAAAGCTGCAGAAGCACCATGAATAATCCCTGGTAGGTTGGTAGGTAGGGGCTGGGCGGGAAGCGGCACATCAGAGTCACTTGCCGGTGGGCAGAAGGGATGGAGGATTTGGAGAAACGCCATACACCCAAGGTTACTAGTAGCTGGCCGAAAGGTCACAGACGGATAATCTGTGGCAGGTAAGGTCAGCAGGAGACGGCACGTCGTCTCTGCAGGTGGACATGAGGACGGAGGGAGAGCTGGTTCTTAGTAATTGTTATGTAAACCCTGTCCCCCCTCCCCCCCGGACTGCTTCTGAGCCCCACCGATGGTACCCGTGCACATGGTTGGGAATCACTGTACCAGGTAACAGCCCTTTCAGGTTACTATTACACCAGGTTGCAGGTGGAGGAACTGGGGCTGAGAGGAACCTGGCAGGCCAGCTCAGCAAGTTCCAGCCCACCAAACTTCTCGGTTTCACATCTTGGTCCCTGGGGTGCCAAATCACACAGAAGTCTTTTGCTGTTCTCAAACGGTAGTTTCAAGGTCCCCAAGCGCTTGGTGCTGGTTAACGTTGAGCCTAGGGACAAGTCTCACCCTAAACTAGGCAACTAAGACCAGGGCGTTCTCCCTGGCAGCGCCAATGCTGTGGAACGAGCTCCCTCATGAGATCAGCGCTCTACGGGACCTCCAGCAGTTCCATAGAGCCATTAAAACGGAGCTGTTTTGCCAGGCGTTCCAATAAGAGCCGATTACGCCGGTGGTGTCACACTAGCACTTTATCACAAGTTGTATTAGCTGGGATTTTATGGAATTGTATTTTATATTTTGTAATGGTTGGTTTTAACCAAATGTTGGTTTTAAATTGCTTGTAAGCCGCCCTGAGCCCCATTTGCAGGAGGGCAGGGTAGAAATTTAATAAATAAATAAATAAA